GCGGGCCTGGTCTGGCCGAGCTCGGCTCGCGGTTTCATTGCCGAACACTTAGAGAGCGTTGAGTCAATGCCCTCGTGAAAGCTTTTAAGCCCCCAACCCCTTGTCCACTGCCGCCGGGCCACCACCCGTGACCGCGACGCGTCCCTGCAGTCACACTGAGCTGTGGGGGTGTGTAAGGGCTGGCCCTTGGGCTGGCCTCCGCTCGTCCCCATTCCCCCCTTCTGTGTTTTGTGCCTCGCGCCGTCTGCCTGCTCTTTCTCTACGTCAGCCACTTCACACTCCGGCATGGCCCCGTGCTGTACCCTCTCCCCCCCTCCCTGGTGACCTCCGCTCCTAGGTGTCGCTCTCGTGTCAGCGAGAGGCCCTCCCCGCCCCCCACCCCGCCCCTTGAGCCCCATGGGCCTTACAACCTCTTGCCCGGCTACCTAGGAGATGTAATGTTGGTGCTGTCGGGTGAATGAAGAGGAGCGACATTCGAGCAGACAGTTGTTGCTTGTTGTTGCCGATCCACCCTCACGCGCATTGAAACTAGCAAACAAAGACATTAAAATCTTACACGTTACACTGCTAGAGTACAAATGTATACATTTTTGAAGTTCGAACGCCTCTTTCAGGTTTATAGGGCGCTAGAGTGGGTTTTCTGACCATAATAGTCTGGACCACGTTGCACACATCAAGTCGTACACAGTGGCTGTAAATCAATAAATGGTAGAGAAATGGAAGATACATTTAACTGCTGCCATTTTAAATTTATTACATATTCACGCCCCTCTTGTTCACGGAAAAAAAATGACTTCGTTGTGAGGATCAGTTATGTTTGGTAGGCTAAATTTGATAGCTGGAATCGAGAATCCGATACCCACAACCAAGGGTTGGTCGCCACGACCGGATACTTGTACGAAGAGAACAAACTCTAGCTTGGTTCTCTTCGTACAAGTGTCCGGTCGTGACAACTAGCCTAGCTCTTTCTTGTGAGTGTCGGATTCTCGATTCCAGTTATCAAATTTAGCCTACCAAACAGAACTGATCCCCACAACAAAGTCTTTTTTTTCCGTGACAATAACCTCTGATGGGAAGACAAACTTTGGCTAAATATTTAACAAGCGTTGACCCCGCTGGTGACGCCGGTCCTAATTGCGTTGGCTCGCCCTGATTGAATTGGTTTGCAGTATAGTTTTATCGAGAGCCGAACCAAATTGAATTACACCCTCCGCAACCGTGTATGTGACGAACCAATATCGCAAAATGTTGTTGTTTCCATATTATTTTTTCGCAAGGTCAGTTTGCCCCTGCAGTTGAGTTAAATGACGGCCTAGTCATTCCCTCTACAACTTCGGCTGATAATTTACTCTGGATGGGTATCTTTGTCTCCACGG